AAAGGCACAGTCAGATATTATTACTGCATTGTACGCTGCTTGCAGATGGGATCTTTTACCTTAAAATAGTCAGCAAAAGAGAGGTTGAGTATGGTGTTAGGTGATAACTGACTCATAAGGCTGAATTCGAGTGGTATTTATCATCCTAAACGATTTTGATATGTTTCGATTACTCTTGGCCAGTGCCGCATTTTTGCTAAGACTTAGCGCATTATGAAACAGGTAGTTTATTGAAGATCGTGAATTTGAGTACGAGGACAATATCACAAGACTCTTAATTATATTGGATTATATCAACATCTACGTTCATAGAGTATATATGGTCCTATTAAATCGATATGTATTTTAGAAAAGGTGACCTCTCAGATCAATGGCCTTGTTCTAGGTGTTCAACTAAAAAGTCCGTTCGCCTTTTAGTAGCGTCAAATTGTATACAAGCTGTACGTGCAGTCAATATTGCTTATAATTTTTTAATGTTTATTCCGGTGACATGAGTGTTGTTACAGCGGACGAAATAACTGAAAGCATAGTAAAAGATTGTTGGTAAATCAGGAGATCTAATTATCATATAATTATATAAGGACGCTTATCTAGTCGAAAGTAACTCCAAATGACGCCAACAATGAATAGCTGAATGCACTTACATAACTCTTTCTCTTTTTACCAGCATAATATATTTAAGATTTTACCTAAGTACAAAGTGTACTTTTGTAGCTTTCTTTATGGCAGTTTATCGCTTTAACTAGTTTTTGGCCACTTTTACACATACATATGGACCCTGTGTCTGAAGTGATGGCACTGGTATTTTTTATAACTTGCATGCAAACTTAGAGAAAATATCAGTTTGATTTGATCTTACTTTTCTTTTAAAAATAAAGTTAAGCGACGTTATGTTACATGATCTGGGGACGTCACTCCGCCTGGATCAACTGCTTACAGAAATCATTCTTTAACAACGAGAATATTGCTATCAGTTCTGCATGGATTACATTATTTGATACCTGGATGGGCAGGCCGTCCTGCTAAAGCCCCATTTCTTGGAAACTTTTTCTTTCTTTTTTTTTTTTCTTTTTTTCTTATGATTCGGAATACAAGAAAGCTTGAGTCCATCTCCAGTTTATTGTTCAAACAAAAGAAAAAAAAATAAAGGCCAATGTTGCCTCCGACCTACACCGGGCAGTGTCCTTTCTTCAATAACCCGAGGTTATCGGTGTAGAATTTTTGGGCGGCGGGCAAACTTAAGAAAGATATCCCTACTGCCATTTGTCTGTGGGAAAAAGCGGCTAAAAACTGCATGAACCGAATAGCTGCCGTGAAAAAACAAAAAAAAAAACTACCTACCTTAATAATGTCATATTTATTAATTTAAGCATATAGTTTCTAATAGAAAAAAAAAAGTATATGTGTAAATACATACAGTTGTTTGTAATGGAATCATCTTGAAGTTACTTCTAACCAGCTAGCAGTTGTAGATGCCGCACTAACATAGCATCAGTAACAAGCAATAGCCATAGATCTATTAGAGTTTGCTTCGTGTAACTATTTCTGTCTGGAGGTACACGGTATTCTATTTTTATGAGAAACTGACCTCTTGTAAGCCCTACTACTATATAAGATGCGTGTATGCTAATAAAAGTCAAGGTTAAACTAAGTCTTCGATTAAGTGTTCTGTACAGCCAAGTATTTCGAATTGATAGACAAAATCTGCGTCGGTACCATTGAAGTCGACTGTGCCGTTCGCTTAGAGTATACAAAAATTTTACATTTATAAACGTCTACGCGTGTTTTGCTTCAAGGGTACCATTTTTCGTATGCTATAATTGACCACCGCTGTTTATATCCACTTGTATTTGACACCAGCTAGTGTTTAGTGATTCAATTACAAATATTAATCTATGAAACGAATAATTTACAATTTTTTTTTTTTTTTTTAATAGAATTGTACCACTTAAACTTTTCCATTCTTAAGGTAGTTTTGAGGTAATTTTCGAAAAACGGCAGTAAGCAAGCTGATGATCATTTTTGAATCGTGTGGTAAAAACACCCTTTGCGGCCTTTTGCATTGTCGGCCTGAAGTGTCTCAAGTCCAGGGATGTTTCTTGTACCGTGTGATCTCAGGACAAGTAGACATTTGACTGGATCAGTGGTTAGTTGATTGCTAAACACGTAAAAAAAAATGTTTCGCCATCTTCGCAGTACGAACTTTGGCAGCAGTCCTAGTTCATCAACTAGGCAACAGTACAGAGTTAACGGCAAAATTAGCTCGTTTGCGAGGCATCTTTTAACTACGCTAGAAATTGTGCGCTTGAAACAATTATTTTTTCTTTAAACGTTTCTGATATTAAACTCGAAAAACTCAATCCCGCTATATATATATATATATATATATATATATATATATATATATATATAGCGAGATATATAGATATATCTCAATATATATCAAAGATGTATAGATATGTTACGTACCCGAGTTCCGATTGCTGATATCTGGCAGCGAGCTTTTGTGCCCTTCACGAAGTTATGTCATTTGTAATCAGCAAGACATGACAATACGTTTGGTCCGCCACCTCGAGCTTAGCTAATGCCTATAGTTGATCGCTTTTATTCAGCTGTTTAATGAGAAAGGTATATACGTGCATATTGGCATGCACCTATGTATGCACAAAAGTCGTGCACTTAAAATGATAGCTAATATCTCTTGGAGTAAAATTAGTCATTTGGGAGCAAGCAGGCAAATAAAGGCTTGCAGGTACTTGAATGAGCACGCAAATACGATCAATATGATTTTACCCTATAGATAGAAACGTAACAACAGGTTGGATAGAGCCAATACCCTGTATAAATTACATCCGTTCGATCTTTCAATAATGAACTAGTATTTGGGACTAGAAAACGAGTTCGCTTCGTACTGCAGCCTCAAGCAGGATCAGTACGTTGAACCTAATTCTATAAAAGCAAAATCACTCATGTTTTATTCACTACTGTAGTTATATACTACATCGAATTTAGCATTTATCATCACCATCCATAACAGTCACCCTTGAATGTAAATATATCTATGTTTTACTAGACATATTAGTCCATGACTATTGTCTATATCGTTAGTAGGGTTTGGACAAGCGACCCCCAGCCGACGCAGCACACCTTCATTTCTATATACAAATGGTACAATATACCGCACGTAGAATTTGTGTTCTGTGAAAAAAAGCGATTTTTCTTCATTTCAGTTTATTCGAAAAAATCATACATCGCACCATTATTAAATATCGTTTCCTCTACGAGTATAATAAGCAAACGTGTTTCTTTTTTTTTTTTCTATTGAAAATTATATTTGGTTACGGGGGTGAGCGAGTGCACTGGAAATTACTCGTCCTACAATGATGTACTTTCTCTAAAAGTCAAAAGCCTTTACCTCTGATGACCGTAGCTGATTTGAGTGGGGAACTGGCAAAAAAGAACACCCGATTATTTAATCTCTCCCTATTCACTTAGCTTTGTTAGCAATAAAGATTATCCGTCATTGACAGTGGCGGGTGAAACGCTCATCTACGCTGCCATGCGGTTCTGTCATAGTATTAGCAAAAAACGTATGGCTTTCATTAATGGCCCCAGCAAAAAAAAGTTTTTGTCCATGATGAGCCGGCTAGACTATAATTGAAATGAATCAATAACGGTCCGCAGTGACGGACCAGGAGGTGGTATCGCCTGTCGGATGTATGTGGCTCGTCTGAAATTATAGGCTAGATTAGCTCCGTCATCCGAATTCGTTTGTCGCAATTTACTAAATTTGTTCGAAAAAAACGAGCTGTGTCAAACAAGCAGTGTTTGGGCTAGAATCAAGTTTTACAGTTATTGTATGTATAGACTAACGTTGAAGCCAATGGAAGCGTCCAGCCGATAGAAGCATTGACTGGCTAGAGCGCAAATGGACAGATCATCTTCAGGCGGACCTCGCTGAGCAGACGATGAAAATTAGAAGTTTACATATGCTCTGTTCATTGTCGGCTACAACATTAGGCAAACAACAGGTGTCAGCTTCGATCCAAAGACAAAAACCTTGAAGTAAAAGATCGGTTATGCGATATCCGAGTCGGGTATCGTCTACTTGGGTATCCTAGGCCCATTCAACGAACATGTATTTTACAGCTGACTTATAGATTATGTCAACTTGCCCAGCGTGGCATTCGACGTTGGCAGAACGGAAAAATGTAACAGTCTTGATAACATGGATGGCTTGTGTCACAGTATGAGGCTACAGTTAGTACGCGGAAATAGATAAGAGGTACCGGTGTAATTAAACACTGCTGGTACATCGAGTGAAATAGATGACGGTGTCAAGTCCCGCGAGCGACCAGCAGCGCTGTTTAGTGCCTGTATCGTATACAGACGCGTCCATGCGCTTCGCCTATCGGAAATCTCTAGTAATTAATCGAGCACTAGTTTTGCTCAAAGATAAACGAATCGAAAACAAGTAAAAGTGTAACAATAGACAAAATGGCCAGCAATTCACTAAAATTACGAGATTTTTCAATTTATCTCCTTAGAAGTGTTGAGCGCATCGGTTCAGGCGTAATTGTTGCAATAACTATGGCTATTAGGCGATTTATAAAACCTAAAAAATATATATTTTTGTGCGTTTCATGCTTGAAAGAAACCGTGCCTTCATCTATAATAGCTACAGTATTTTACGAGTACATATTCCCTAAAAAGAGTTTCCTATCACAAAGAGCTTCGTGAAAACGAATGTTTCTGTAAGAAAATTAGCTTCCACTCGGTGCATTTTCTTCGCGAACCCGAGTGTTTGCTATTTATTGTTAGTAAACCTTTGTAAAACTACAGACGCCCATGGCAGTTTCTCCTACACTAAATTGATTTCCTCGCTACACGTTAGTTCGTCCCATCGTCTTATCCACAGGCGACCTTCGATGGCGGCACGCGAAAACCCCACTTGGGCGCATCAGCAATATTTCAACAATGCATCTGTTATGTTCTCTTACCGTCAACAGCTATGACACACAGTACCAGTGTAACGGCCGTATGGATCCCTCGTAGAGGCCGCATTTTCCCACGTTATTGCTCACACCTTGTAAGCGTTTATACGTGTTACTGAGGTATCCTTCAGGGAAATCAGCTTTCAACCTCTTCGTCCTGCTGCTGTCCTCGGTCTGCCCAGCGGTTTGATTCCTCTGAATTTTTCATTATTATCACGATCTTGATTTTTTTTGCAGCACAGATGTCCGTCATCATCCTACACAATACGGATTCTTCTTAAAATGGTCATGCACAGTCCATTTTGCAAGTAGTTTTTTTTTTTCCCCCACGGTATAAACAAATACGTTTATTGTTCACGTTGTATATTCAGGTTTCGTTCCTGTATGCACTGCTAAGCTTTCATGTGTTTTTTTTTTTCTATTAGAAACGACGAGAAGGGCAGAGGTATCTTACATTCTGGTCTTAACGGAGGACTCTCTTCAAAATAAAAGTCAAGTGGTTTCGCTAGCTTGGAAGCTAGTTCGATTTGAAGAGATGGGAGAAGTTTAGGTTTCTTTGCATAACTTCGTTCAACTTTTTGGGCAAGCGCATTATTTTGGGGAAGCGAACAATGCCTGCTGTGAGCAACATTTAAAGCAATGAACACGTTGCACTTGCTTTTAAATCGTAAATAGTATTGCTTCTTGTGAAACGCTTTAAATATCTGCTACAACGTATAGCACACATTGGACGCATTATTGAGTCTGCATGTCCGACAAACACGCGTTCGTGGTACGCAATACGTGTTTGCCCTCTCTGAATGAGAGAGGAATTATTAAGGAAAGGGCACGTTTGCTCTAATGAGAGAGGGTAGAATTTTCCGAAATTCGCCGAAACGGTCGCCACTGTGCCCGCCACAGCGAACTTTACGGGCTGAAACCCTTCCGAGTAACAACAAACACAATTTTTCTTCTACAGCAAACGTGAATGGTGGCTGTGTGGCCAGAGACGGACAGCTCGCCTTGAAGCAAGCTTACGCTAATAGCCAGATTGTGACAGTGCAAAGAGGATAGCAATTTGTTTGTCTATCACGCGCTGGAGTTGGGTGAGAGACTATGAATATCTGTTATATATATATATATATATATATATAGTCCATAGGGACTGAGATGTTTGGATTAAAGATAATGTGTTGACCGAGAAAGCCGTAGAAACGTATAATTGAGACATTTGCTGATGTTAAATTCTTTTACGATAAACTATAGAATATTCTTAGAAAAATACAACCTTGAAAATTTCAACAGTTGTGGTCGCACGAAATAAAGGGACTATGAAAAAAGGACAAACATGGCGATAGTACACGTTTTTAGATATTATAATTCGGCAATCCTCCCTTCTTTGATATTTTTCCATAGCTTGTGCGACTGTAACTAAAGCAACTAGAAGGGATCATACGTCGCGTAACACGCATCAGCACGGCCACCTTAGACATTGGGATCACGTACAACTTGTATAGCATACACGAAAAACGTGACAGAAAAGGAAAAACACTTAGAGTGATCGCTTTTTTTTTGAATTTCGACGGATTACTTCGAACCAAACATAATTAAGACAAACAAGCCAGCGTAACGCGCTGTGCAGGCCACAGCTCTGTGGCTTTATGCCTATTTATGGGTATGTTACCCTTGAGAACAATGTTTTCGTGTTTTGTATGTTCGGTTGCGAAAGAGGATAATTCTCCGATGACTTATAGAAATGAATGCGGCTGAATTTGGCTAGCGTGAATATGAAAGTATTTTGAATTACTACTCGAAGAAGTACCGTTTTTGCAAATCTCAGCGGTTACGAATCTGGGTCTCGAGCGTTAGACCTTCGAGCCGATTCGCCTCAGAGCCCATACGAGCCTATACATATAGAAACTCGCCCCACACATTTACTGCTAACTTTATGTTTCTGTCTCGAATTGAATTTGCATCGGTGCCACGATAAATGGCCGTTTTCTACATTCACAATAAGTTCCTTAAAACCCCAAACCTGCTTTCTTCCATATAGCAAAAGTCTGTAGTTTATAATTAGAAGCCTATAACTTTAGTGCGTAGAAATTAATTGCATGAGCCGTTTGCATGGTTCATAAGCAAATGTATAATTATACTGCATGATATATCAGCGTCGGAGACAAAAAAGACATCCCAGAGAATAGTAATAGTATAGCTTTCTTCAGTCCTGCATGGGGAACGTGACCATCACAGCAACTTATCGTTGATGAGCGAAACTCGACTCAATTCGATTTTATTATAAATACGACCTTAAACGGTGAAGTATCGCTTCGAGCCCGCGTCGACACTTACCTCAGTTCTGTGGGCAGGGAATCATAGTAATTCATTCCCTATAGATAAACTCATTCGGTCGAAGCCGGTTCGTTTCGGCTAAAAAACAAAATGCTTTAGATCATGAATAGACACTCACAAGCACATACACCTACGAACCTTCAATTGGTAGTGTTGTTGCGGGTGTCGTACTAATCAGCAAAATATTTCTAGGGTAATCCCGTGATCGACACGTATGACCCAGTGGACATTAGTTCCCAGTGCTTCGTTTGGCCACAATTTTGTCTCTTGAGATGAAATCCTTTTTCTCTGTCTCCTGAGAAAAATCCAATTTACACAATATATATATATATATATATATATATATATATATATATATATATAAATGTTAGCAAGGATTTATATCGATGTTTGAAATGAAAAAGGTGGCTACTTCAGTAAAAGGTAGAGAACAGTTTGATTTTGAATAGTTATAAAGGATTTCGAATTTGAAATCTGTCGCCTTTGTGTTAATGGTGTGTGTCATTCGTCTGCTATCTACAGCGTGAACAGGATCGACGAAACAAAATAAATACAAACCGCTGAAGGAACACATGTGTTCTTGTGGCGAGAGGTTAACTTTTAGATGAAGCTACAGTTTACTAGCGTCGTTTAATTTTACCGCCTGCGAAGTGTGTACAATGAGTTATTAGAATTCTTTGAGTGAGACGCTAGAGGAAAGGTGATTGATATTTCCCAGCGTTCGCCAAATCACCGAAGGCAATCATTCGAATTTTTTTTATCTCTTATTTAATTACGATTGCTTATTTAATGAAAATCTATTATTAATTTCTACAGTGGCATGGTATTTGTATGTGAACTAGTACAATATCAATCTAGAACAAGGGCAGACTTGTCGTATTTTATGCAGATGAGTAAAACAATCATAGTGCGAAAATCCTATAACGGTACAGCCATGCACTTATATATAGTCGAGTCGTTATAACAGATCTGTGACAGTTATAATAGTTAGGAATTCATCGTAATTGAGATTACAATGAGTGACTGCCTTAACAAATGCGACTGGGTCCACTGTGAAGTCCAGAGTACCTGTACCATTTCCGAAAAATTCTTATTCATCTGTACGGGACTGCGTGTTCCAGCTTTTGGTACCCGTTCTCCTTATTACAAACGCCCTTGTGTAAACAAGCACGAAATAACAGCTGACCGACTTCAAGCCACTTCTGCCGAATCTGCCTGTTTACGGCTGCAAGGAATTGTAGACACTCACTTACAGAATCCTCAGATCTTTTCAGAATCTCCCTCATTTGCTTGGGGGTTGATGTAGCTTCAGTCGAAAAACTGCAGAATCGATGTCGAGCTGAATTACGCAGCTTCTCTTGCATTGCTATCTGACCCGCAGAGTCCTAAGGGGACTTCTCACTGCTGCTAAATTACGGGTACTTGCACCCCCCCGGCCAGTGCTGAACTTGGGGGGTAAACGTCGTCAACTGGTTGAATTCTGTTTCGACTAGAGATTTAGTGAAAGTAAAATGTCAAGGACACGGATGGGTAAGCCGTTAGACGTCGCCGCCTAGGGAGGAATGAAGCTTGAGGGATAAGAGTGAATGAGAAAGGTCCCGGGCAGCTAAACAAAAAAATTCTTAGAGGCTTTCTTTGTGCTATGTTACTTTGTTGTTGCGACTGCTACCTCTATACCCCGACATGGTATCGTCCGGCACGCCATGGAGCGGAAGGGGCACTCGATTATTTCCAGTCTCTTTCTTTCAACACAACAACAGGGGGTAGTTTCTTCTGCGTGTAGAAGGCGTTTCCGCCATGCCGCGCCCTGACACCCCACGCATCAGGACCCACAGCAGAGCACCATACAAAAATATCCACCAACTCTTCCGGTCTAACGCTACCATTTTCCTTTGTTTTGCGTCCACTGTCACCATCGCTATCATCTCCTCACTAACCACGTTGTTTCGGTGGTGCTCTCTAACTTCTGTTCATAACTACACTACTGTTATTAGTACTGGTATAGACTGGCAATCCATAGCCGTTGTTCGTGATCAGACGACACGGGCCCTGCTTCTGTAGCTACTGTCTGATTGCTCCCTTTGCTTGGCTTAGCTGCTTTCATTCGTCCGAACCATAGCCAAGAGGCCGGCTACCTCATCCGAAATCGTCGCTGCAATAACCGCAGCCTACTAGTTTGAGTCCTACCGAGCGGAAGACCAAGCGAACAACAGGACAAGATCAGGACAGTGGCGGCCAACGAATGACGACACAGAGCATGGCGATCATGTTTAGCCGAGTCTGTCAGCACCCGCTGGTCGAACAACCCCTTTCCTATCATTGCCTGTGCCTCAGATACGTCATCCTATATAACAGCCGGTATAATGAAGAAATATGAGATATTCATCCTTTCTTGTTTTGCGCTGCTATGCTAACGCCCCGTTGCAGAAAAGCTTTGAACACACAGAACATAATTAATTTCGCCATTAGCTCATGGCTATACTTATGCATATCATATATAAATACATATCAAAAGACAGGAATTACAAAAAATGTTGGACCTCTCATTCATAGTTCTGTGAAAAAGGCATTAGAAAAATATCGCGTCGTTCATGTTGAAGAAGATCAGTATCCCAAAATGTAATACAATTAATGTAGGTTAGTCATGCGTCCGCTAGATTTATTGGCAATTACGCATTGTAGGTATAATTAATTGTTTGTAAAATATAAGCTTGTATTGTTTTAGACATGTATTTTAGTTAAAAATCAGCTAGACTCATAATAACGAAGTAAGACATGCTATACTGGCACCAAAAAATGCATCATGTCCTTGTTCTCAGCAGAAGGTATTGTTACAAAAAATATCGATCGGTGGAATGCATTTAGGTAGAATTGTATAGACTGTCACAGATACATATTCTAGAGTTATACAGTTGTGTCAGACAGATGTGCACATGTACCTGAGCTACGTTGTAACTTGTACTTATCGATAAAACGCGACTAAATGCCCATGAATTGCTGAAACACATTAACTTTTGGGCTGTCTTTTAGATTAGATGTCTTAATACTGGCATGTTATTGCCAGGACCGTATTTTTTATACGTTTATTTTTTTGTTGATACGAATGCAGGTTTCTATAATATTTACGTAGGACAAGCATGTTATCTAAGGACGCCATTGGAGTGTATTTATGTACTCGCTTTGGTTAAAAGCTAACTACAGATGTTGAAAACTTGCAAATGCTAGCCCGTCACAAGGTATCGATGATAACTTCGTCGGCTGGACTTAAACAATCGTCGACGTATCTCAAAGAGCTTTTTAGTAGTTGTTATCTTTCACACATGCAAACCAAGTCGGGTTCCAGTGTTTTTTTTTTTA